CTCTCATATAGATAACTTGCCTATAGGTTATTTCTGAATTTCTGCATTCTCATGTAGATATCTTGCCTATAGGAGTTTCTGAATTTCTGCATTCTCAAATAGATAACTTGCCTATAGGTTATTTCTGAATTTTTGCAACCTCATATAGATAACTTGCCTATAGGAGTTTCTGAATTTCTGCATTCTCATATTGATAACTTGCCTATAGGTTATTTCTGAATATCTGCACCCTCTTATAGATAACTTGCCTATAGGAATTTCTTAATTCTGCATTCTCTCATATGTAGATAACATGTCTTTAGGAATCCTACATTTTCTCATATATAGATACCATGTCTATAGGAGTTCCTGAATTTCTGCATTCTCTCATATATAGATAACATGTCTTAGGAATCCTGCATTCTCTCATATATAGATACCATGTCTATAGGGATCCTGCATTCTCTCATATGGATGCCATGTCTATAATTATTCGAAATCAGAATTCTGCATATGCATATAGAAAATATGCCTATAGGTCTTTCTGAATCTTGCATATCCACTTTCATTAGGCAAACATGTTTATAGGCCCTTAATCAGTCAACTGCAATTAGATATCATGTTCATAGGCTTTAAATAAAATTCAGCACCTAGATATCATGTTTATAGGATTTCTGCATTTTACCATGTCTATGAAAGGGTTTAAAGTCAACAACGCATAGAAAGCATGCCTATAGGAGCTTTAACCAACTCTGAATCGCCTCACTCTCTTATAAGTCTAAAACCAGTAATAACGATGTGTTACCATTTGCAGAACTTATAACCTTTTGCTAAAACTTGTCTTTTTTTAATAACTAACAACTTTTTCTTAAATCAGTATGTATTCAGTTTAATTCATTGTTTCTGAAATCAGTAGATATCATGCCTATAGGATCTTCGTCCAGCACCTGGGCAAACCATAGGGTAAATTTTATAAACTGAATCAGATTTTATTAGCTACAACCAACAGGTAGGCCTGCTTCGGGCTTCTTATCTGAATTATGTAATAAATCAGTCTGCCGCACCCTTTAAGTTTTAATCAGACCCTAAACAGTACGTGTAAGTCATGCTAACTACTTGCTTTTCTCTGTCTAAAGGAGGTGTATTTGAGCCTTTTATTTGCTTATATGCTTTCCCCAAACTTGCTATATGTGTTTTTGCCTGTCGCCTTAGTATTTTACCTTTTGAAACCACAAATAAGCCAATATCTCCTCCCTTTAGGATTAGTAGTCCCAAATACCTCTGGGGCTGATAGGATTGGGGCGGGTAATAGCATGCAATAGGTAAACGAGACCATTCCGCGCTTTAATACCTTAACGGGGTGGGAAAGGGTAGATATGGATATGATGACCACGCGACAACATCACGTGTAGCCCCTCATTGAGGAGTGATTACCGGATGTTGTGTGGGGTGATCCATATTATTAATAAACCTAGGACCCCCTTTCCCTTTGTTCTTTGTTTCTTTTAAATCTTTTAAAACCATTTCTTCTAAGAAAATCAACTCTCTTTAGTTCTTTCCGCCTTTGTTTATTTGTGACCATTACATGAAAATCCCTTCTTATTTGAAACTCTTACTTGCCTATGTGTTATTTGTAGTTAAGTCACAACAATAGTTTGGCCGGGAACCACACTAGTGGATCCTGAGGGGTGCCTAACACCTTCCCCTTGGGATAATTTCAAGCCCTTACCCAATCTCTGGTTACTTGACTCAAACCCTTCTTAGTGTCCTAATGCACTTAAATCATTAGGTTGGCGACTCTTCAATCCAAAACCCAATTCCCAAAAGGGAATGAGTTGTCTTCCCAAATATCATAAACCCGATTTCGCGAGAAAAAGGGGGCGCAACAGTGAGTGAGTTGCCAAACTTGACTAAGTATCCAGTTACTGACATTCGTGTGTTTGGACAACTTGCCCAGTCTGCATCACAAAAATATATCAAACTGTTTGCACCTTCACTGCTCAGAAATATTCCCATGCCTGGTTCATGTTTTAGGTATTTGACTACTCTCATAACTGCATCCCAATGAGATTTTTTGGGCTCTTGCATGAACTGACTGAGAGTTTGGACTGCAAACACAATGTCTGCTCGTGTGACGGTCAAATAGATCAACCTACCGATCAACCTTTGATATTCACTCACATCTGTCAGGGTCTCATCACCTGCAGTGCCAGTATGTTTGTCAAACTCAGCAGAGGTAAACTTCTGATTGAGATCTATGGGAGTTGAGACTGACTTAGCCCCACTCAACCCCAAATAAGAGATGAGTTGAAGACAGTACTTCCTCTGATTCAGTTGAATCCCTCCGTTGGATCTCATAACCTCAATTCCCAGAAAATATTTGAATCACCAAGATCCTTCACCTTGAACTTCTGATGAAGGACAACTTTAGTCTCATTGATAAACTCCTCACTATTTTCAGTGACTAATAAATCATCCACATATATCAATACTGCTACAAAGTCATCTCCTCTCCTTTTAGTAAACAATGAATAGTCATGTAGACTCATCCTGCAGCTGTTAAGGCCTCTCTGAGCTTAATGTTCCACTGTCATGAAACTTGTTTCAATCCATATAATGAATTCAATAGTCTGCAGACCTTTGTCTCCCCCTGTCTCCTATAACCTTCAGGAAGTTCCATATAAACCTCCTCATACAAATCTCCTCGCACGAATGCATTGTACATATCCATTTGTGATATATTCCAGCCTTTAGAAGCAGCGAGAGCAACCATAGACCTCACAGTTACCATCTTAGCAACTGGTAAAAAAGTTTCATTATAATCTAGGCCTCCTCTTTGGCTATAGCACTTGGCTACCAACCTGGTGTCACACCCCTTTTTTCACCTCAACCCTCTTTTAAAAGTATACTAGTTTCTCTGAACGTGCGTTGCACGTTTATCTCATATCATTATTATTCAATTCGGATAAATACTTTCCTAACCCTGTGTTTGCACCAAACAAATTATTTTTACCATAGTTAAGTGATTTAATAGAGGGAAAACATGCATTACTTGATCATGATTAAGTGCTAGAACTCCATGAGCAAACACATGTCACTATTCTACTAATTTGGTGTAAGCATTAGGAGCGAGTAAATTTTTACCTACAGTTCATATTGCAAAATGTCGAAATTTTAACATATGCTTATTTTAAGAATGTTTGTTTTGAGTTATAAAGCTATTTGGACAACACCTTATTTGAAGCTAAAATGATATTTGAATATGTCAAATGAAGTAATATTTCAGTCGCAAAAGTTAATTTCTTCTCCAGGGTGAAAGTCATGCCAAATGTAATTTTAACTTCTTTTCAATATCAATTTTAATTTCAGATACTAATTTTTCAAACTTAAATCAAATATTGGCCAAACAGAATCTTTACTTTATAAATTTTGATAGCTATGAGCAAAATATTACTCCTTATAAACTATACCTTGGAGAAGAAATAAAAAAGAATTTTAATTTATAATATGAAACTTTCAGTGTCATACAATTAAAAACAAAACTATAAATTATGCATAAGGATATTCAAGAAATGAATCACTCAAAAATTCTGTGCTAAAGAATAAAGTAAAAACTTTTTCTTTGAATAACTAAAATATTATTGATTTAAAATCAAAACTCGGTCTCCGTGAAATTGGAATTTTTTTTTATGATTCTTCAAAGGACCTTTAAAATTATTTGTCAAGTCGGTAAAGGTATCTTACCTAATAGATCAAATATTTCTTCCTTGAATTGTACTAACTCTTTCTAACCTAAATAATAGTGACCTGCGCATAATTATCAAAATACGTTACTTTAAACAACATCTATATTTTCACCACCACTTGTATAAACCGTTTCACTGAATATATTATAAATATATCCAAAAGTAATCTAACATAGTAAAATTGTGCAAGAGAATTTTGAATAAAATATGAAAAGAACGTAGATAATGTGTCTAAAGGAATTATCTTGAGGTTAATAATTTTTCCACATTGTACAAAAGGTTTAAAAGAAATTCAATGCCCGAGATATAATACCTACTAAACAACTTAGAGTATCATTCTTTAATTTCTTCTACCATAAGAATGCAATCCAATAAAAACAAATAAAATTAATTGAAGTATAAAATTTAAGAAAGAAGAATGAAAATATTTTTTAACGTTGTTAGTATGAGAATTTGACAGAATATTCAACGACACTTGTGAGATTTTATAAGCAAGTGCTCAATGTTCAATTAAAAGCGAGAAGTTGTATTTTTGCTTATTCTCGTTTCACTTGTAATCTAATTTATTTAACACCTCTTCAAAGTATATAGTGTGCTAGAAACATACCTTGAAGAGGTCCAAAACTATATTAACTTTCATCGAAAACTTTCTTTATCTGAAGTTCACGCCATTGGGTTGCGCTCTTCATCTTGTATCTAATCCATGGAGATTGTTACAACACCTGATCATTTGAGTCGTCTCCCTTAGTGTTAGGAAGGAAGCATAAGCCATGAGGAGAATACTTGATTGAAAAGTATTACTATTTGTAAGACGTGCATGACATCTTGATTACGTGGACAAACAGGGAATGGATTATAAATCGTAGCCAAAAATTATTTTACTAATCCCAAGGAACACAATCCTTCAGTCAAGGCATCAATTTCTTTTATTTATATAAGTTGTTCTTTCTAACTGCTAAATACGTAGTTTCTTTAAAAATTAGATATTAATGAAAGAACACAACTATTTAGAAAAGACACAATACAAATCAATATTTTTAAGTACTATTAATTATTATTAACAAATATCAATTTATAATTATTAAAAGGGCATTTTAGTAATTTAACTTTTTAATTTTGGGCTTCCCACTTTTAATGTAGTATAGATAAAAGTGATTTAAAAGCTCAAAAGGATTTTCTATTTGAAAGTGACAAAATTCATGTTTCAAGTAATTTTTCAAAGTCACCACTTGACATTTGGTTTTAGTGTACCAAGTCACCGTTTTAAAAAAATTATTTTTTTCTTTAAAACACAATTAGACTCCAAAACAAAGTCTGCACCAGAAATTCTGAGTAAGGGGGTTCATTTGACTCGAGGAGAAGGTGTTAGGCATTCCCCGAGTCCCGTAACTAGTACGGTTGCATACTTCATCTAGTTGGCTTTAAAGAATATTCAAACTAAGGCAAAAACATTCCAAAGAAAAATAAACACATAAGAGGCTCAAAATTGTCCCCACCTAAATAAAAGAAAAATAAAATAGGAGAAAAATACTAAAAGTCTATCCTATGCTCATCCATGAAGTCCGTCATGGCCTCCAATTACATTCATTACGGGGCATACCCCGGATAAAATATATACAAGTTCTTCGGGGCATTCCCCGAATTATATAGTTGACTAAAGGGACAACCTTTACCTCTAAATATATAAAGCATCCTAATATTTGCCTACCCCGTGTGGTCTACTCCTAACATCACAAACAAGTAAATAAAATTAAAATGAGAGCATGATAATCACTTAAAGACTAATTCTCATTTTTTAAGCTTTTAAATTCGAAACCACATGGCCCCATTTATCTTTTAATTGTCGTACGCCAAATCATCATCCAAGCTAACATTCCCTTCCCCTTAATTTTACTCATAAACGTGCATTTCACAAATTAAATCTCAACTAAATTCATAAACAAAACTCAATCATCATTTAGTAAATAAGCTAATTTGAAGGACCATAAACTAATTAGGACACTGAGAAACAACCAAACTGCATTCATTCAACGAAATTAATTTCAAGAACTCATAAAAACTTGAATAGAATGTAAAGCTGAGAAATGGACCTTACGGAAAGCAAAATTTCCAACGCTAGCCGCTGACTAGAAAATTGAACCGTGATCGGAACCCGGATTCGCAAACTCGAACAAACGCACTGACCTGATTGACTCGAAATGGAACCTTCCCTTCCGTCTAAACCTGGCTAAGAACAGAGATTGTTGGAAACAGTGTATTTTGGATTGTGGTTAGAGGAATTGGGTCTATCTTAGTAGTGGAAGAATGGACAGAGGTGGATTGTGGTTAGAGGAACTGGGTCTATCTTAGTAGTGGAAGAACGGACAGAGGTGGACGTGCAACGTTTTTACATGGAGGATCTACGATGGTACCTTTTGTACTGGTTTTCTGTGATGATTTTAATGGAGAAAAGGTGTTTGTAAAAAAGCAAAAGAGATGGGGAAGATTCATGATTATGGTTCTTCTAGAGTATATCTGTGATATATATTGTATGGACTCATAAGAGTGATAACGGAGAGCAAGAAGCTGTAAGAATGGTGGAGCTTTGTGTTGATGGAAGAAATACGAAGAAATTGCTTTTTGCCTAATGGAGAAGATGAGCAAATTTTTCTTTTCCCATCTCTGTTCGTGACTCTCCCGTTTCCCTATCTCCTCAGTTCCTTTTTCAGCATCTCCTCTCTTCGTTCTCACTCTTTTTCCCGTTTTTTCCTTCTCTGTTTGGACTCCAAATTCTCGTCGTTCCCTTCTCACTCTATTCCTCTCAATTTTGACTCTTATCTATCCCCTCTTCTACTCTCATCTGCCCCCCGTTTTGTTGCTATGTCTGTGATTATTTATCCCCAAAACGTCTTGGGGAGAAAGCAAACCATCCCAACAAACAGTGTGGTCCCTATGGGATAAAAATGCTAGTAAAAATAAAATTATCAGTTGGGTGTGTATGGCATGAGTAGAATGTGTAGGATTGAAAATGTGAGAGCATGTGACAAGGATGAGGTGTGAAGGTGATATTAGTTGATGAAAAGAGAGAACAAGGAATATATGTACATGTGGAATATCTGGAAGAACATATTATGAGTGCAAATATGAGAAATTGAAGTAGAAGTTAATGTGAATATTTAAAGAAGGAGATAAAGATAGAATAAGGAAATTGTGAAAATGGATGGGATCACCTTGTGAAAAGATAAAAGGACTATTTCATTTTCTTTGTTTTGCTTCGGACATTCTTTTCCTCTTCTTTGTTTCCTTTTTTTTTTTTTTTTTTTTCGCTTTGTCTTAAAGATGAACGAAAATGCTAATTATCTAAATAATAGGGAATAACTAAAAAGAAAAACAAAATACATATTAAAGAAATCTAAATACTACTCAAAAAGTTACATTAAACTAAGTAAAAATATTTTTCAAAACTTATCTTTTATCTTTTGAAATGAGCGGTCAAAGACTACTTTAGTATTTCTCAATTTTATGAAGAAAGATAAACTACAAGTAACTAATATAGGAAAATATTTTTGTAATTTTTATTTTTAAGATAAACTAAAGCAACAAATAAAATAAAAGTCAAAATATTGATATTAGACCTAAAATAATTATTTAAATGCTAAAATGTATAAAATTTCGAGTAGGTTAAAAATTACATGTCTACACCTGGCGTTGAACCTTTCTACCTCACCACTTGCTTTGTATTTTATCTTATACACCCATTTCGAACCAATAGCCTTCTTGCCTTTGGGAAGGTCAACAACATCCCAACTTCTATTGTCTTCTAATGCCTTGATCTCTATTTCTATGGCTTCGAATCCACCTTTTGTCCTTAGATGCTTCACTGAAAGTTCTTGTTTCTGTTAATGCTGAGATCCCAGCCAAGAAACTTCTACATTTACTAGTCAACCTGCTATAGGATAGATAATCAGATAGGGGATAAGAGGAACTCTTTTTTGTAGTGGTCACATAATCCTGCAACCACAAGGTTCCTTTGCAGTTCTTTTGGATTTTCTGACCTCAATAGACTCTTGTTCCAGAGCTGTTGGAGGAATCACTCCACTTTCCTGCATTAAATGTTGCTCAGGAACTGCTTCAGCATTGCTAATTGTTTGTGCATTACTACTGTCATTCTCTATTACTGTTGTGTTGTGATCTGCATTTGCATTATTATCTACACTTGCTGCTAGTGAGTCTTGTATGTCAAGAACATTTTCTTCTCCAGTTCCGTCATGTTCTGCAATGTTAGTCTCTATACTGTTTTCAAGACCACTCCCCTCAACAGACTCCTCTAAATCACTGCTTGCAATTCCTTCTAACTGCAGATTAACATTGTCATGGGAGTTTTGTAGAGGTTCAAATTGTTCCAGCGCGAGATGAGATCAATAGTTGTTGTATGTCCTTCTCTATTGTGAGGTTTAGAATAATGTTTGGCAAATGAAACTATATGCTCCTTGAAGATAACATCTCTGCAAACAAAGAAACAGTTAGTTGCCAAATCCATTAGGCTGTAGCCTTTTTGTATTTCTGCATAGACAAGGAATACAACTGTTTTTGCTCTTGGTGAAAATTTGTCTTCCTTAACTAAATTAGTGGCATAGCAAAGACAGCCAAACACCTTAAGGTGAGACAATGAGGGTGGCTTGTTATGAAGGAGCTCATATGGAGTTTTCCCATTCAACAACTCAGTAGGCAGTCTATTTGTCATATGTTCAGTTGTTTTGATGCATTCACCCCAGAACTTTGTAGGAACACTTGCTTGAAACTTCAATGCCCTAGCTGTATCTAGAATGTGCTCGTGCTTTCTCTCCACTATTCCATTCTGATGTGGAGTATATACACAACTGTTTGGTGAACTATCCCATAAGCATCAAACAAGTCATTCATGTGTTTGTTAAAGAACTCTGTGCCATTATCTGTTCTACTACCTTAACTTTGGACTGAAATTGAGTTTGTGGCATAGCAAGAAATTTCTTCGACACCACAACAACATCACTTTTGAGTTGAAGCAAATGCACCCAAGTATACTTTGTATTATCATCAACAACAATTAGAAAGAAATGTTTTCTATCATAAGTGGGAAACCTATATGGTCCCCAAACATCCATATGCAAAAGAGATAAAGGATTTTCACTTTTAATCATAGTTCTAGGGAACACTAGCCTACTACACTTAGCTAGTAGGCATACAGGGCAATCATTCTTCATAGTGCTAATTGAAGCATGGCCTAGCTTTTTGTCCCACAAGGCTCCATCTTCTTTGTTACTTTGTGCACTTGTAGTTGATGCAAACTTCCTTATCCCTTTGATGAATTTTTCCAAATCTCCTTTGAAGTTCTTCTTCAATATGTACAGATCACCTCTCTCTCTACCAATCTCCCTTGCCTTGCCATTGTTGACATCCTTAAATAAACAGAAATCAGGGAAGAAATTCACTGAGCAAGACAGTTGCCTAGTTATTTTAGATACTGAGATTAGGTTGAACTTAAACTCATGTACAAAAAAACATCTTCCAACTTCAACTCATCACAAATAACAGTTTCTCCAATGTGTGTTATATTAGATTTCCCTCCTGTAGGTAGATGGACTTGATCACTGTCACATTTATTTACTTTATTCTTAGTCTTTAACATATCTAGCTCACCAACTATGTGGTGTGTAGCTCCAGAATTAATTATCCATTATTTGCAAGGAAAGCTTTCCGTTAATGAGGTTGCAATACCTGCCATGTTAACCTGATGTTTTGGAGTCTCCTTGTTCAACATGCTCAAAATCTATCTATATTGATCCTCAGTGAAGTATGGTCCTGCCTTTAATCCATCACAGTTATTTCTTCCTTCATCCTGATGTGCTGATTTGTCATTGTCCAAGCCACTAGTTGTCATGTTAGTTGCATATGGTTTCTTGTTTTTGAAATCAGTTGGTTAGCCAACTAGCTTATAGCAATTTTCCTTAGAGTGCCCGGGTTTGTTGCAGTAATCACACTTTACAAAAGGTTTTTTTCCTTTGTATTGTCCCTTGTTATTCTGCACAATCATTTGCCCTCTACTTGTTTGCATAGCAACAGGATCTCCCCTATTTGGCAAGGCTGGATGTGAATTAGAGTTCTGACTTTCATCCTCTATAATCAGTGCATAAGCTTGGTTGAATGTTGGCTCCACAATCTTCATTAGAATCTAACGTCTTGCTTGATCATATGTCGTATTGAGATCACTTAAGAACTACATTAGTCTTTGCTGCTGAAGATGTTCAACATACTCCTTCGAATTAGGAATAGGCACTACTGCATCATACTCAGCCACAATTCTTTCAACCTAGTGAAATATGCAGAGACTGAGTCTATTCCCTGCGAAATAGTAGCAATTTCCCTATGTAATTGGAATATTCTCACACGATTCACTTTGTCAAACCTTTCTCTCAAATCCTCCCATACCAAATGTGCATTAGATGCGTAGACAATGCTGCTAAGTACAGGGTGTTCATGATCCAGGAAAGCACGACTGCATTACATGTTTCCTAGTCCTCATGTAATTCAAATTTGAATGAATCCTTTTTTCATGTCCCAAGAACAAACCCTAGCTTCCTCTTAGCTTGCAAAGAAATTCGCATTGATCGACACTACAGTACATAATTTTTTGATCCTGTGAGCTTTACAGGAATCAAAATCGAACTAGGAGTATCTGAAGGATGAACGAACAAAGGATGCGTATGATCGATTCAGGAGGTTGGTGGAACTATACAGGGATAGGAAGAGAGATTTGCATATGGTGTTTATTGACCTAGAGAAGGCATATGACAAGGTCCCTAGGGACGTCCTTTGGAGGTGTCTGGAGGTGAAAGGTGTGTCAGTGGCTTACATTAGGGCGATAAAGGATATGTATGCTGGAGCTATGACTCGGGTTAGGACTGTAGGAGGTGACTCAAAGCCTTTTCCAGTGGTTATGGGATTACACCAAGGATCTGCGCTCAGCCCGTTCTTATTTGCTCTGGCGATGGACGCACTAACACACCATATCCAAGGAGAGGTGCCATGGTGTATGTTGTTCGCTGATGATATAGTTCTGATTAATGAGACGCGAGGCGGTGTTAATGGGAGACTGGAGGTATGGAGGCAGGCTCTAGAGTCTAAAGGTTTCAAGTTGAGTAGGACTAAGACGGAATATGTGGAATGTAAGTTCAGCGACGTGACGGGGGAAGCGGATGTGGAAGTCAGGCTTGACTCACTGGTCATCCTCAAGAGAGAAAGTTTTAAGTACTTAGGGTCAATTATCCAAGGAGATGGGGAGATCGACGGGGATGTTACGCACCGTATTGGAGTGGGGTGGATGTAATGGAGGTTAGCGTCTGGAGTCCTTGGTGACAAGTTTGTGCCATCGAAACTCAAAGGTAAGTTTTATAAAGCGGTGGTTAGACCAGCCATGCTGTATGGAGTTGAGTGTTGGCCAGTCAAGAATTCACATATCCAGAAGATGAAAGTAGCAAAAATGAGGATGTTGAGATGGATGTGTGGGCACACTACGCTGGATAAGATTCGTAATGAAGATATTCGAAAGAGGATGGGCGTGGCTCCCGTGGACGACAAGATGCGGGAAGCGTGACTTAGATGGTTCGGTCACGTGGAGAGGAGAAGCCTAGATGCACCGGTTAGGAGGTGTGAGTGGTTGACTTTGGCAGGTACGAGAAGAGGCAGAGGGCGGCCTAAGAAGTATTGGGGCGAGGTGATTAGGCAAGACATGGCGCGACTTCAGATTTCCGAGGACATGGCTCTTGATAGGAACATGTGGAGGTCGAATATTAGGGTGGTAGGCTAGGGGGTAGTCGGGAGTTCTTCCCTCTTTGTACCGGGTAGTCTGATAGAGTTTCATTTAGGTTTGTTAGCGGTCTTTGTTGTATTCACATTGTTGTTTTGCATAGTTTTGTGTTATTGTCCTTTCACTTATTTGTTGTGGTTATTTTCTTTCTGGTATCTTTTGTTGTTACATGTCTTTTCTCTTGTTTCTTTTCTGATATTATTGCCTCTCCTGTTGAGCCGAGAGTCTCCTGGAAACAGC